TTAGAAAACTAGCTATCTTCTGCAAAGAACATATCCTGACTCTTATATATACTTCTTTCCACGTTTTCCCCACTTCTTTTTTATTTATTTTTTATTTTTTTTTTATTTTTATCTACATGACACTTACTGCTCAACAGAGATGGGAGGAAAGAGAATAAAAGGTGGTGAGAAAAAAAAAAGAAAAAAAAAAACTAAAAGAATTTTTATCAAACGAATTTCTATGAATTTTCTATAATAATTTCAAACGTCTGACTGGTAAAAGTACTTTTAAAAAGGTAAAGGTACTAGTAAAGGTACTTTAAAGAGAAAAAAAGAAAAAAAATTAATAAAAATATTGAATGTATTTTTTAATTCGAATAAAAATAATCTTTGGTATTCCAAAATATATTTAAATATCTTCTTCTTCTTCTTCTTCTTCTTCTTCTTCCTTATTTAAATATAATTTCATTTGAATCTAATTTAAATTATTATTTTATATGCTATCTCTTATTACATATGTATATACTTTATTTAAATATAGTTCTTCTATATTTACATATAATTTAATTTGAATAAAATTAAATGTGGAACAAAATAAAAAAAAATAAATCTTACAGGATGTTCAAATAATTTCACTTCGTATTAACCGATCCTCTCTCTCTCTCTCTCTCTCTCTCTCTCTCTCTGTTCATATTTTAATTTATCCTAATGACAAAAGAGATAAAATAAAATGAAATGAGAAATTGTATTATAGTTAATATCGAGGATTAAAGTGACGTGTCGCATGCAACGACGACCGTGGCCGCAACCGGGATCCGTAATTTTCTCTCTTTCTCTCTCTGTCTGTCTATCTATTTGTCTATCTCTTTCTAAGTTCATCTTGCGCGAACCGTCGGTTATCGAGGGACGCAAAGGCATGCCAAGAATTTTCGTCGTTTCTGGGTTAGGAGAGTTAAGGCCGATTTTCTTCCTATGTAGGCGAATATATGCGCTCAGCAAACCGCCAGCAACTCGTTCAACTAAGCTCGATAATATCTCCACGATTTGCCATTCGTCTTTTATATTCTTCTACCACGAGCAAGAAAAGAAGAAAACCAAATTACCATTCGTGTATTTTTCCCCAGTTTATAAGAAATCTTTTCTATCTTTTATCTATTTTTCTTTTTTCTTTTTTTCTTTTTTTATTTCTCTCTAAAAGAATAAAAACAATTTACAAAATTTATGTGCAATGTATTTTAGATGGTCTCTTGACTTACTTTCTTTACCATTCTTTTTCTAATTATTTTTCCTGATTATTACTACGAAAAAAAAAAAGAAAGAAAATAAAAGAAGCAATAATTAATATAGAAAAAAATTAATAATCCCTCATCATATAATTGTTATTTGAAACGTTTGAAAATTCATACGAAATTAATAATATTTTTTATATAATAAAAGTATTATTTTTTCGAGCAAGTTAATTAATTAAATTAAAATCTTTTTATTATTTATACATGATTATCAATTACTTTCTATACGAAATAATATATATTTCTACTTAATACTTTTTGTTTTTTGTAACCAATTTTAATTTTATTTTCGACACAATTTGATGTATTATATATATATACATATACGTATTATTATTAATGATGTATTATATTACTTTCCATCTTCTTACTCGTTTTATATTTTCTTCTGCATATATTGCATAGAAACAAAGTTTCGTGTATTCTTACGATTCTTAAGATGGATAAAGAAGAACTGCGGGTATAATAAAAGATTTGAAAGCGGAGGCGTAGCCAAGTAGGCTTTTAGAACGGCGTCTAGTGTCTACTTCTTCTTCTTTTTCTTTTTATTTTATACGATATTTAAACGAAAACGATTGAAGAAATGAAAAATTGCAAGATCTGCAACTATACAAAAACATAATATACATCATAGATAATTCTTTTTCCAATACATATTATTATAATCACAATCATATTATTATTAACAGTAATGATACATTTGAAATATTTTCTCTCATCATCCACCTTCTTTTAATCAAAATTATTATAAAAATTGTCATTAATTTTGTTAAGAGATATTTATGATTATGAAAATAAAAGATTAAAAAAAAAAAAAAAAACAGAAAGAAGAAAAAACATAGAAATATTAAAAGAATGATTAAAAAGTCATAAGAATTAGCACTTTATCGTTGAGTCAATCAATTGATCGATCGATTATAATAAAAAATTCAAAGAACATCGTCACCAAGGTGAAAAAAAAGAGAGAGAGAGAGTGAGATGTTACCGATAAGTACCGTTAAAGTTTTCGTTTGGATAAAAGAAAGAAAAAAAAAGAAGAAAAGAAGAAGAGAGACATTTTAAGCGAAACGTGGCATTGCCGTTGCACTCCAAAAGGGTAGGAAAGGGAACTAAGGGTTGCACATAAGTTCGTCGAATGCGGTAAAAGCTAGAATAGGACTCGCTCGATAGATTTTACGATAGGGGTAGTAACAGTAGTAGTAGTAGTAATAGTAGTAGTAGTAGTAGTAGTAGTAGTAGTAGTAGATGGATCGAAAAGCGAGGAACGATAAAGCTACCCCTTCGCAAATCCCTGTGAACGAGCGAATCCTTCCTTCCTTCCTTCCTGCCTTTCCTTTTTTTCTCAGGGATTTTCCCTCCTTCCAAACCCAACGAGAGTTCCAGCGGTTTTCCTAAACGTCGAAGATGTTTACCTGTTTGTTGTATTTTACCCCTTCGTATATATATATATTTTAAAAAAGAAATAAAAAAAATATATATTCCACTTCAGATAACCCCTTACCACCCACACCCACTATTTATTTAAATTCCTATTCATCACCAACACTACTTAAATACGAGACTTATTTTTATTAGTTCCATGCTTTTTCTTTTTTTTTTTATTGAAAGATTAATCAATGTTTACTTTACTTCTACTTGTTTTTCTTGTTTTTTCACGACCAATTTTTACCTACCCGAACGAAAAATACGATTTAATAGTGATTTTTTTTTTTTTGTATTTCTAGAAAATGTATTTTCTCAACGAACTTTTGTAGAAAAAATCTTTATTGAATTATTAGTTTTAAAGAATCGAAATGAAAAATTAAAAAATGCTTGGGAAAATACAAATTTGAACTAACAAAGTTTTCTCGAGTTATTTATTGTTTTCCGTAATAAATTAATATCGCGTCACAAGGGTTGTTGTGTTTCGTGATTCTGGCAAGTAACGAAGATCAAGTCTCGTTCTAAGTTTGCTGGCATTGTGAGTAAAACATTATTTCCCTCCCCTCACTCACCCCCCATATATTTTCTTTTTCCATTTCTTTTCCAAGTGAGAAAGTAACGAAGAAAACGGGGAAAAGGCGTGAAGGAAGAAAGGAACGTTAATCTTAATTATAAAAACATAACACTTTGCGTCAGTGTTGATTAAAATTGGAGAGAAACTAGAAACGACAAATGATGCAACCTGCTAATTAAAATACATACACCCATCGGTTAACATTTTATATATTAATGTGCGTATCTCTATCTGTATTTGTTTGCGTAATAATACGACCACACTGATTGATATTAAAGTAAAATCAAATAAACTATACGATAGTATAAAAATACAAAATAAATCTTCTTCGATTGCGTTAACAATTAGATAGCTAAAGATTCTTCTTTATATCCATTCAAGTACCGATAAGATATCGTTATTACTTGTAGTACAATTTTTTGTTATCGATAAATATATAATCAGTTATGATACTGAAGTGTACCTAAGATAATCTTGGTATAAAACGAGTATTAGAAAAAAATTCAACGTTTCTTAATAACCATTGAAAAATATCATTCGATTTGTATTAGATGAAGTAATTTAATATTTTGTACAGAAAATTTATTTTTTTGTAATGTCAAACCGATAACATATCTTATTCTAAGCTTCTACATCATTTGTGCAGCTGCAAGATAAAAAAAAAAACATAACAAAAATATTCTAAAGATAATGATGTCAAAAATGTAAACATAATATATAGAAAAATGAGTTTTGAAATAAAATTTTTCTAACGTTGTTTTCAAATCGTAAAAAATGTCTGCAAATGATTTCATAAAGAAAAAAAAAAAAAAGATGTAATAAAAATAAAATAAAAGTTAAAGTTTTTCATACTTATATGTTCGAAGATTGTACAAAATTCTGTGAACAATTTGAAGAAAATAATAAAAATAAAAGCCAAAATGTAAAGATTTGAGAAATCGCGTTTGGCAGACTTTGTAAAATTCGGAGTTCGGAAATCGTTAAAATCGAGAAATAGAGAAGAGGAGAGAAGAGTGTAACTTTGTAAAACCGGTTTAGGGAAGTGAGCCTTCGAAAACTTATCCTATTAGGAGTTTCCTCTTCGACAAAAGGGGACGTGTACACAGTTTCGATAGAACCAAGGAAACTGTATTGTAGTTTAAGAACAGCCAATGCAAAAGACACACAGGGTAATCTTCCAAGTTAAAAGTCGTATTTCTAACAAAAGGAAAATCAAATGTTGATATAATAATTGATAAATCTTTCGGATCAATTAAAAAATAATATTTTCTTTATCTGAAGAGATCAAACTAAAGAAAACGAGAAATTGTATTCTTGATATATCGATTCACATCAAATACAAACAGAATAATATCTAATCTGATGATGTTGACAAAATCCTATCGTAGTAAGAAGAATTTCTTGTCACCTACATTCGAACGATTATCATGATTAAGGATAACTTTCTGATATAATAACACATTCGATATCTTTTCATCTTTTTCAAATTTCCAATTTTAATGTAATATTGAATATACCTTTAATATATTGATTATTCAAATTTAAGTTACATGGTTCATTTATTATTTCTTTTCTATTATATTTTTCATCTTGAAATAAAAGTAAAAATATGATTTTTTAACTCTTTTAATTATATTTTCTTTATTAAAAAATTTATAAACCTCTCTTTAACCAATACTATTTCAAAATATTACGAAATTCTGAAACCCTAATTTGAAATGTATTTTTGATTACAGAAAAATCGCCCTCGTAATCATCTTAACCAGAGCAGGATTGGATTTGGATCCAACTGCATTGAAGAGACTTAAAATCACCGTTCCAAAATTAGGTTTGATACCATGGTGCGTCGAAGCTGGAGTGGTTGCCGTTTTAACGAAATACCTCTTAGGATTACCATGGATATGGGGTTTCTTACTTGGAAGTATAATTGCTGCAGTATCTCCAGCAGTGGTGGTACCATGTCTTTTCAGATTACGCGGAAAAGGTTATGGTGTCGCTAAGGTATTGTTAATTTGACTTTATTCTATTGCTCGAAATATTCGTACTAATTTTTCAAATATATTTTATATTATTTTTCTTTTTTTTTTTTCAATGAATTGTCCATAGAATTTCTCAATCTTTTAGCAGACAATTTTAGAAATTTAACCTTTAGTATTTTTTTTCTATTGCATATAATTATATATTTCTATTGAACAAAATATTTAAAAAAATTATTAAGTATGAAATAAAAGTAAGAAAAAATATTAAATCGACATACTATTTAATGAAACAAACAAACAGAAAAAAATATAAAAAATAAATAAACAAGTTTTGCTTACGAATGAATTTTTTCAAAAAATTAGCACGTACGTTCCGGGCAACCCTATGCATTATAATTCTCAATTATTATTATTAACAATAATTAGCGTTACTCCCGTGAATTGATGAAAGAGAGGGGTAGTTCGAAGGGTATTAAAATACGATCCACGAAGCATATAAATATAACAATTAATATACCAAACATGATACGTTGTGCGAATCATATTAAATATTACTCGTATGTGGAATTGATAATTAGATTTATTAATGAAAATGTCTGTTAGTAATATTACCGTTAAAGTGTATAATTTGATTAATTTATTAAAAAAACCCTACTCCATCTTATAGGAAATATAACATTACGGATGTTTTAGGGAAAAACGTATAAAAAGAATTTGAATAACGAGTTGGAGAAAAATAATAGGAAAAAGAAATGTAATTCGAAAATAACATTTTTGACAAAGAACTATTTCACGCTGAGATAATGCGTTAGTGTCTAACTTTTACTCTCATATCTCATGATAAAGTTACTAGCTAGTTACACCGACGTAGACAATTTTTTTAACCGAATATACTGTTCTTTCTTTCTTTCTTTCTTTCTCTTTCTTTCTTTCTCTTTCTTTCTATACTAACATATATCTGTCTCTCTGAAGAATAGAGAAAAGTAGAAAGAAAAGCAACCATAATTAAATCCTTTTGTTGTAACGTGTGCGTTTTACGGCTAACCGTCTTTTTCTTTTTCTCCCTTTGCTTTTGTTAGTTTTTTATTTTTTTTTTGTTTTATGTTTTTTTTTTTTAAATATTTTTCTTTCCACCGTTTTTCAAACCCGCAAACAAAGAATAGAGTTACGAAGACTTAATCCGCCTTTGATAAAAAAGAACGTTAAGGGAGGAATAGGAACGGGAATTTGCGGTTTGGTGAAGGGGTGGGAAGTTGAAGGGTGAGAGGAAAGGGTAGGTAGAGTGCTTGGAATATAGAAGTAAACGAATACAGATTTATTTTCATTGTCAATGCGGGAAGTGCATCGGAATGAATTTTAATCGCAACTCGATCCCACAATTTTCCCCATACCGCGAATGAACCCCTTTGATGTTAACCGGTATGTCTGAATTTACGGTTCGATGGAAGACACGGAAAAGAAAAAGTGGAGAAGAGGGTAAAAAAAAAATAATATATATATATATGTGAGTGAATAAGAAGAAAGGAAAGAAATATTGAAAGATACTTTTTTGATTTTATCATGGATGAATTTCGTCGTATCGAATATTTTCTATCAGTATGCAATAAAATAAAAATCAAATTTTCAATTGGTTATTCTCGTATTCAACGCTATTTAAAAGTTATAGATATTTGTTTTTTTTTTTTTTTCGAAACGGTTTGAATATTAACAATGAAAATAAATACATGAAAAATAAACACTTATTGTTTTAATACTTTTTGCATTCGATTTTGATTATATTTGAACGCATTAATTTTTATTTTATACTACACGTAGGGGATTTAGTTTTCTAGAAAATTATAAAAATAAAAACATACTGTAATATAGATAATGTTTTAAAAAATTAATTTTATGCTTTGTTTTTGTTTTTAGTTTCTTATTTAATATACTTAAAGTGAATTTATGTTTTAGAAATTTAACGACCGTGTTAAAAGATTAACATTACGATAAAAGAGTATTTGGTTTTTTTTTTTTTTTTGTAATTTCGGTAAAGTATAGTAAGTAATAAAGAGAAATATATAAGATATATGAGCATAGAATAGATAGATAATTAGAGAATATAAGTTTCTCCTTTTCGAAAGTTTCATTTGCCTCTGGTGCACATGTGCCACAGGTTTTCCTGTTTCTAAAGTTATTCCATTACTATGAGTTTTAGTTCGAGTTTTCCCGAATGTACGCAAAAAGTATTAAAACATTGTAAACTGGAGATGAGCTGTCAAGTACAATACTTCCGTGCTTAACTCATACATGACAGTTTTCATAATATATAACATTTTAGTTTGAAATAAACCTAATTCATGACTTAAGTATCGATGGTTAATAATCATTCAAAGTTGGTTAAACTTATTCAAACCATTTAAAAAAAAAAATGCAATTTTCTACTAACTTTTACATTTCACTTTTCTGCAAGATCCCGATAAAAAAATAATTATTATTACTTATATAAATATTTATATTAATAATTAATTATATATATTACTATAAATACAAAAAAGTATCATACAAAAAGTTTATCGTACAAATCCAAGAATATGGTTAATATTATTTTACCGATACATTAATAAAAGAAAATAACAATAAAAAGGAACAAAAAAAAAAGAAATTTCACGCACAAAAATATTCTACAATAATCCGTAAAAATTACATTCGAAAAGATAGTCACAAACATTGTAGGTATTATTTACGTATACATGATAAAAACCTATTTGTGTAAAAACGTACGAACGCGAATTCCTACAAACGCGTATTCTCTTTTTAACATTTCATTCGGTTTTATCTTTTTATTTTCTACCTCTGCATTTTTTTTTCTTTTTTCTTTAAATCTTTTTATTTTTTTCCTCGATGTTCATCGGGGGAAAGGAAAATAACGTCAAACGGTTTTTAAATACATCTTTTAAAATACGATAGGGGATCTGCGATAGATTATGGAGCTTAATTACTCTCATTAAGCCGTACTCGTTAATACGTTCTTACGGTAAAAATTAGCTTCGTCGAAAATTGAGATACGGTGAAAATGAATGACAGACAGTTAGGATAGAGAAAAAACATCGAGAGAGAAAAAGAGAAATAAAAAAAAGAAAGAAAGAAAAAGAGAGATAGATTGAGATTGAGATGGGAGGGAGGGGAGTGTACAGAAAGAGAGAAAGAGGAAAAGAGAGAGAGAAGAAAAGGGATCGGGAGAGTGAATGAATAAGTGTGTGTATGTCTCTACGTGTGTGTGAGAGAGAGCATGAGAATGAGATTGTGATTGAGAGAGGGAGAGGGGCAAAGGGAAAAGGAGAGGGGCCGAATGAGTGAGTGAGTGAGTGAGAGAGGGACAGAGAGGAATAGAGAGATATTGCATGCAAAATGTGAAAGATAAAAAAAGATAGAAGATTTCAATGGCATACAAGGTCCGGTGGCACACGATCTCTGTCGTAGTCTACTTTATGACTCGTAGCTTCGAATGGACATTGATTTTCAAAGCACAAACCACGCGACTAGTACTCGCGGAATGCGTTTAATCGAACCGGACGAAGCACGCGATCGGAACGCGTCCTTTAAATGCTATGTGTGCTATGGAATAATTTCTTTCTCTATCTCTTTTTTCTTTTTCTTTCTTTTCCGTTAAGTTTTTTATCCAACCATTTTTTGTTATCCTTGTGTAACCTGTCGTTTTTTACAGCCGTGGAATTTCATTAATAATGTGAATAAGATCTACGACGACTAAGACGATTTCTAACAGTTAAAGTATACGACGTTAGTGATATGATTTACATCGTTTTGTTATTTATAATAGAAGTACCGTTGGTTTAATAATGATAAAATTCGGAAAAACATGTATCTTTGTAATTTAATGCGAAAGAGGAAATGAGTATTTTTTTCTATCGTCCATACTTCATATCTAAAGAATACAGTTATCCTTACTACCTTTTTTCCAATGGAAAATGAGTAGCTGAAAAGAGAGTAAAAAAGAAATTATAGATATCTGCAAAGCAAAGCAAGATGACACGTAGATTCACTATGGTCTTAGATCTGAAAAAGATAAGTTAAACCATAAAACATTTTATTAAAAAACATATATAAAATCTTGGATAAATCTCCACAAATATATGAAGTTATATCAATTATAGAATTTTAAATATAATTCTATTTCATATTTAGTGTTAATGTGTGTACCTTCAGAAATGCATTTAAACATATAATTTAAAAAGTAATCATTTARGGCATTAAAATAGAAGAAAATCCAAAGGATTGTTGTTAAATCCAACGATGATCACCTGCAACAAGAAGAAAACTATATTAATCATACAATCAAGTGATATRAAGTAGCCTAACATATGAATCGTCCAATTCGTAGATGCACTTTTCAATTGAATTCTCTATTTATTTTTATCAAATCTCTATCTACTGTTGGAATAATTKTAAATTTAAACGCGTGTGATTTTACATTTACATAAAAAAATATATATAAAAATGAAAAAGTACAAAAATCAAGATACTAAAAAAAACCTATTAATTATTATAAAATACTTTAAAACTACTATTCTATAGAAAAGAGARATTACAAGTTTACAATTACAAAATACGATTACAGTGAAAAATCTTAAAGAAGACAAACAAAAGAGAGATTACTTTAATAWTCAAAAGACGATAATTAGRTTTCAAAATGGGAYAAAAAGGGAATTTAAATATTTTGACTCAAACTAACTAAACACATATGCATCTTTTTGACGATATAGACACGAATTTGGTGTCCCAAGGAGATGGAATGGTCCATCATCTCCAATTACAACTAGAAATTAATGACGAGCAAAAAAGTAAAACAATAAAATATAAAATATGACTAGAGAGTCATTCTCTAAAGGTTCRAACTTGCTGTTGAACCTTTGAAAATAACTCAATAGCCTCAGTAGTTGCCCTCTTGAGCCACAATTAAGTGGGGGCCTCTTCGGCATATAGCCTCTTCTTTCTTCATTCCATGAAAACTGCATTTGGACATTT